GTGGCTGATTTTAGAGTATGTGCCATGTGCAGATGAGAAGAATGTATATTCTATTGTTTTGTGGTGGAGAGCTCTGTAGATGTCTATTAGGTACATTCTGTCAAGTGTTAAGTTCAGGTCCTGAATATTTGTTAATTTTCGGCCGTGATTATCTGTCTAATACTGCCAACGGGTTGTTAAAGTCTCCCACTATTATTGTGTGGAAATCTAAATCTCTTCATAGGTATTACCTTTTATTATGAATCTGGGTGCTCCTGTGTTGGCTGCATATATATTTTGGATAGTTAGGTCTTCCTATTGAACTCTTTATCATTATATAATGCCTATCTGTATTAGTTCACTCACACTGCTATAAAGAAATATCTGGCCGGGCACGGTGGCTCAAGCCTGTAATCCCAGCACTTTGGGAGGCCTAGGCGGGTGGATCACGAGGTCAAGAGATCGAGACCATCCTGATCAACATGGTGAAACCCCGTCTCTACTAAAAATACAAAAAATTAGCTGGGCATGGTGGTGCGTGCCTGTAATCCCAGCTACTCAGGAGGCTGAGGCAGGAGAATTGCCTGAACCCAGGAGGCGGAGGTTGCGGTGAGCCGAGATCGCGCCATTGCACTCCAGCCTGTGTAACAAGAGCGAAACTCCGTCTCAAAAAAAAAAGAAATATCTGAGTTTGGGCATAGTGGCTCACGCCTGTGATCCCAACACTTTGGGAGGCTGAGGCAGGGATCACTAGAGCCCAGAAGGTCAAGACTAGCTTGGCCAATTCAGTGAGACCCTGTCTCTACAAATAATTTTTTAAAAATTAGCGAGGTGTGGCAGCATGTACCTGTAGTCCCAGCTACCTAAGACGCTGAGGTGGTAAGATTGCTTGTGCCCATGAGGTTGAGGCTGCAGTGAGCAATGATTATGCCACTGCACTCCAGCTTGTTCAACAGAGTGAGATCCTATCTCAAAAAGTAAAAAGGGAAAAGAAAAGAGAGAGAGAGAGAGAGAGACCTGAGACTGGATAATACATAGTGAAGAGAAGTTTAATTGGCTCACAGTTCTTCAGGCTGTACAGAAAGCATGGCTGGGGAGCCTCAGGAAACTTACAATCATGGCAGAAGGTGAAGGGGAAGCTGGCACATCCCATATAACTGGAGTAGGAGGAAATGCAGTTGGGGGCGGGGTTGCTAAACAACCAGATATTGCGAGAACTCACTCAGTATCACAAGAACAGCACCCAGGAGGATGGTGTTAAACCATTAGAAACTGCATCCCTGATCCAGTCACCTCCCACCAGGCCCCGTCACCAACACTGAGGATTACAATGGAACCTGGACCTGGGGGCAGCGCAGGTCCAAACCTTATCACCACTTCTGTTTTGGGGTTTTGTTGGTTTAAAATCTGTTTTGTCAAAAAATAAAAAAATAAAATCTGTTTTGTCTAAAATCAGAATAGCAACCCCTGCTTTTTTCTGTTTTCCATTTGCTTCTCCATCCCTTTACTTTGAGCCTTTGGGTGTCACTGAATGGGAGCTAGGTCTCTTGAGGTTTTATGCCACTATATTAATCAGAAAAGCCAAAAATTAGTTTTTTTGTATGTTAGCTAAGTATGTAAGTTAACAATGAGCCAAAGAATCTCAAAAATATTTTTTTCTTTAAAAATTATGCCAAGCATCCCTAGATACTAATAGAGTGGTGATGATGAGACATCCTGAAATCAAAGGACAAGAGAATAAAAGGAATACTGTACAGGTTTATCCGAGCCCTGCCTGTTTTTGTGATATTCCTGTGCTCTGCCCTGGGGAAATTGATTATGGCCAATTAATAGGAAGAAAGAAAAAGCAACTAAGAATAGAAATTTGTGTGTTTGTGTGTGTGAAAGAGAGACAGATGAGACAGGAGAGTCAGGTGTGGTGGCTCATGCCTGTAATTCCAACACTTTGGGAGGCCAAGGTGGGCAGATCACCTGAGTTCAGGAGTTCAAGACCAGCCTGGCCAACATGGCAAAACCTCGTCTCTATTTAAAAAATACAAAAATTAGCCAGATGTGGTGGCACATGCCTGCAATCCCAGCTACTTGGGAGGCTGAGACAGGAGAATCACTTGAACCCAGGAGGCGAGGGTTGCGGTGAGCAGAGATCACATCACTACACTCCAGCCTGAGTGACAGGGCAAGAATCCCTCTCAAAAAGAAAGAAAGAGGGCCGGGCGCAGTGGCTCAAGCCTGTAATCCCGGCACTTTGGGAGGCCAAGGCGGGCGGATCATGAGGTCAAGAGATCAAGACCATCCTGGCCAACATGGTGAAACCCCATGTCTACTAAAAATAGAAAAATATTAGCTGGGCGTGGTGGCATGCACCTGCTACCCAGGAGGCTGAGGCAGGAGAATTGCTTGAATCTAGGAGGTGGAGGTTGCAGTGAGCTGAGATCACGCCACTGTACTCCAGCCTGGCGCCTGGCGACAGAGCGAGACTCTGTCTCAAAAAAAAAAAAAGAGAAGAGACAGGAAAGCCCATCACCACTAGGGGAAGACTGAATTGAGTTCTCATCAAAAATCTCCTGGCATCCCATTCTAATTAGAATACAATTAAAACTCCATGAAGGCTTCACAAAATCTGCCTTCCTCCTATCTTGACAACAGAATAAACTCCTAGATTCCACCAGACTCCACACACCTAAGTGGCACATCAGAGATGTGCAGAAGACAGAAGGTACCTAGCTGGTGAAAGTCTGAAGCTGTCGAAAGGAAGGCAAAGTATGCAGACCACCTAATCAAGAAGCCCAACCTGGGGATAACTAGAAAGGTATATTCAGACCACGGTATATATAAATGAGGATATGCCAGGCAAAGGAGAAAGAGATACACAGGGAATGGAAGAATTTGTGCAGAATGTATACTAAAGAGGATTCCTGGGATGGTGTGGGCAGAGGTACAGTCAGACCTTTATGTGAGCCACTGCAACTCAACCTAAGACAATCTTGGTTTTTTAAGCTATAAAATGAGGCTAAAAATTCCTTTCTTGCAGGAGTCTTGTCAGGAAGATTAAATAAAATGGCATATGAAAACACACCACGAATCAGAGTGGGTGCCAAAAAGGAGTTCCATGCTTCCCTCACCTTCTCAATAAGCATCACCTAAAATGCATGCTGAACAGATCCCTGGTCCCCAATCCTGGATGGAAGCACAATTTCCATGGAAGCCATCTGGCAGTCTGCATAGTTAGCAGATGATGCTTATCAGGGAAATGTGGGAAACCTGGCATTACTCACTTCTCCCATAAGCTTCCACATGATGTGGAACACAGAAATGTCTCCAACAGAATAAAATGGCTGTGAAATCCAGTCCTCTGCCACTGAATGAGAAAACGTGCAATTTACAATTTAACAGGATATGTTAAATTGATGTTTTTAAACGGTACGTCTCTTAACGGTATTCTTCTGTCAACGCTATTATTCTCTGAGCCTTAAAGGTTTTTGGTTTTTTTTTTTAAATTGATTCGGGGCATAAGAAAAAACTATCTCCAATAAATCTGCTGAAATGTAGTCAAAATTGCAGTCCCATTGTACTGCACCATTTAAACAATATATAGCTCAATATGGGACTGATACACTGAGCAACTATAGTAAAAATACAGTTCAAGGAAAGCAACATGACAAGGAATGAAGATCTCGACCATGAGAACAGCTCAGGAAACCAGACCAAGACAGCACTTTCTAGAAAAATTGTCTTCTTATAAGCAAAACTGCCATTATCTAAAGAGCCTCTGATGAATCTGGCCTTGCTCAGAGACAATAAATAACAATCTAAGGGCATCTTTTTTCGCAGATCTTGGTATGAAGAGCAGTTCTTAGTGAAATAGAAAGAAAGCAACAAACCAACTTGTGAATGTCAAATCAGCATGCCTTCAGACGGAAAATAACCTGGCAGCCTCAGCAGATCTTCCCAAATATTTAACATCTGCCTGTAAATACAAAGACAGTTTCATGGTCTGCAGCTAGGTGAGGAAGTCTGAAGACCGCAAAGTCAAACATTCGGGCTACCGTAATAGAGGTGGCCACTGGAGACCCCAGGAGTTAACTAGGCTCAAAGGTCAGCGTGGACACGAGAGCACAGAGCACGAGGAGCTTCCAGCAGCTCTGCAGTCTCCTTAACTATCCACCTACTCAGAGCACCCAGCTGGTCCTCGTGAGGGAAATGGGACTTGGAGTTTAGAATCGCTGTGGTTTCCGACACACCAGCAGTCACTATGTTATTCGCACCCCTACCCCGCCCCCCAACACACAGTTTTTAAACATTACCTTTCAACAGCGGCCTCTCCTACCCCGCCCGCTCCTCCCCACCGCCCCGCCAACCCCCTCTACTGAAAATCCTCAAAAAAAAAAAAGAAAGAAATAAGTGTTTTGGGTTTGTTTCTGGTTTCTGGAGTTCGCTTTTCATAGATTTTCTTTTAAGCCAAAATAACAGCACATAAGAAAGAAGCCTGAGATTGCCGGGAGCTCCGGAGCCGGCGGCCGCAGCAGGACAAGCGGCTTCTCCCTTATCTATCTTGAAAATTAACAGCAGCCCAAACACCGCGATTTACTCACCGTCCCCCTTTCTCCTAAACTGCCTCGGTGCTTGTTTTGTTAGGTCTAGTTCTATTGTGGAGGGAAGAAGCGTTTCTCGGAAAACTTTCTACGGTAGGAGACCAGAACCTTCCAGACCCCAGCCCTCCCCGCGTACAGACCCTTTCACAAGAAAACAATAGTGAAGGAGGCGCTGGACGCTCCTCCCGGCTTCGCGACCGCACAACCTCGCGGGCGATTCGATGAAAGAGGGTCCCAGGGCAGATCGTCTCTGCCCCCGCGGCTCCTGCGCTTACCCGCGAGGCTGCGCGCCCCTCCCGCCCTCCATGGCTCCAGGACCCCCGGGCGCCCTCCCCGCCGCGGCTGCAGCGCACCCCGGCTGGCTCGCGGGTCCCAACGCCCGTGGCCCCCGTGGTCCCCGCACGCCACGCTCCCTGGGGCCGGCAGGGCATGTGGCGGGGCGACCAGCCCTCCGCGTCCCCACCCCCAACGCTGACCTCAGAGGCTGAAACGCCGGAGGGTCCGGGCGGCACAGACCCCAGGCCGCCCTGCCCCGGCCCAGGACGCGGGCTCCCCGCACCCCAGTCGCCCTCACCCAGGCAATGCGAACCCGCAGCGAAGCCGGCCGGCGAGACTGCCCCGCCGAGGCCCAGCAGCGACGACTGCAGAGGCGCGCGGGGCTCCGTGACCGGGGGGGCCGCTCTCGCTGCAGCCGGCTGCTCCTCTCCCGCGGCGCCTGCCGCATCGGGCCGCCGGAGCCGCGGCCGACGGAAACCAGAGGAAGGCGGCGCGGGCACGATTCCTTCCCCCCGGATCCGGCGGGGAAGCACAGGAGGGCGCGGCGCTGCGCGGAGTCTCAGGCTCCCGCCGGCCCGCGCGCTGCCCGCCGCTCCGGGGTCCGGGTGCCGGGCGACTGCGCCGAGCGCTCCGGAGCTGCGGGAAGCTGCTCCGGCTCCGCGGCTGGCGCCAGTTGCGCGGTGGCCGCGGCCGCCCCAGATTCGCGGAGGAAGGTGCGAAGCGGCGGGAGGCTGCGGGCCTCGCTGTCCCCCCGGGCGGCAACGAGGGAGCGCAGCCGAGTCCCTACCTTTCGGGCGGGGCAGACTCCACCGCGCGCCCTCGCCGGGCGCCGGGGCCGGAAAATCACCGCGGAGGGAGGGACGGGGAAAGGCGGCGGGTGGCTTCAGGACAAGGTAGGAGGATCGATTTCCACCGCCAAGAAGACACTCCCATCCCGCCCTGGAGTGTTTGCAAAGCTGCAGGAGCTGGAGTGAGGGGTGGCCGGGCACTCCCCTTCCCCGCCGGGCTGGCGGGCGCAGAGGCAAACCCGGACGCTCGCCGCTCCGCGAACTGTGACACAAAGCCCAGCCGAAGGGGAGGAGTGTGCAGAGAGCGCCTGAATTCCGGGGCTCTGCCCTCCAAGGGCAAATGTGTGAGTACTTTTTATCTTTTGAAGCAATTACTTCAGGGAGAACGAAGGTGGAACGTGCTTTCTGCCTTTTGCCTCCCTGGAAAAAAGCCTACGTTATAAATGTCCTCTTACTTGGATGGCTCTGAATGCTTTTTAAAACTTGTCTGTCAAATAATTCCTTGTGTAGAAACATTTAAGTCATAGCCGCAACCTTCGGGCACTGAGCAGTGTCGTCACGTGCGATCAAATGACCCCAGAGAGAAGACCCACGGACTTGGATGCAATTCAAAGTTGGCAGTGTGTCATGAAGTGAAACAAAGTCCTTCATCTGTGATGGGCTTTCTGGTATTTCTCACTGTCTGTCTCTCTCTATCTCTCTCTCATATATATATATATATATATTTTTCTTTCTTTCTTTCTTTTTTTTTTTTTTCTTGAGACAGGATCTTGCTTTGTCACCCAGGCTGGAGTCCAGCGGCACGATCTTGGCTCACCGCAACCTCTGCTTTCCCGGCTCAAGCGATTCTCCTGCCTCAGCCTCCCAAGTAGCTTAGATCACAAGCGCGCCCCACTACGCTCAGCTAATTTTTGTATTTTTAGTAGAGATAAGGTTTCCCTATGTGGGCCGGGCTGGATCCAAACTCCTGACCTCAAGTGATCCGCCTGCCTCCACCTCCCAAACTGCTCTGGTATTTGTCTTAATTATAACAACAGCCCTGGGAGGTACCATTTGTTATTTTCCCAATCCTACTATCAGCAACAAAAAAAAAGCTGAAGGGCTCGGATAATTCATATTCTTTGCCCTTCTACAGATTGCCTTTGACATAACCCACACAGATTTTGTAATTTTAAACGTGGCTCTTGAGACATCAGGATAGTGAAGGGAGGGAATTTGTCTATCTGAACTAATTGGTGTTGAGGTTTACTTTGCTCTTTTAATTTCTCCTGGGTTCTTTATTGACCGCTCTTGTTCATGAGCCTAAAAACTAAAACTGTATTTCACCTCATCCACTCTGGCCTTCTGGACTTTTTGAATCTACAAAGTAATGTGCTAAGAAGAGAGGCTATCTGCTGTTCTGAGGTGACATTTGTGTTTCACATTTGGTAGTGGCCAGTAACTACTGTTCGCCCCAACCTAGTTCAAAAGCTGCCTCTTCCACTGACCTGCTGTGTGACTTTCGGTAAGCGGCTTCACCACAGTGGGCTTCTTTTTTGCCACGTGTAAAGTGAGATACTACAACTTCTCTTGAAGTGTAATGAGGATGAAAACAGTCTCTGTTGTAAAGAAGGCTCGGCACAGTGCTTGCCACAAAACCCATCAGTTCAGGAAGTCAAATGTTGACTTTAAAAATAACGCTAAAAATATTAACTACCAGTCATTGCCCACCATGAGTCAGGCACACACCGTGCGTTGTATTTGTTCCTCTCACTCATCCTGCAAGCCAGTCATGGTAGAAAGGAAGGAATAGAGTTAGGTGGTTAAGCGATGTACTGCCTGTGTTTGTACTGCCTGTGTTGGAGCTGTGACTCAAAGGAAAGCACCTAGGGACAAATTCATTGTTCTTTCTGAGATATCACCACTATGTAACTCTTTGTGGTGGTGGGGGAGGGGGTTGATCTATGTAACATTACTGTGTAAAAATTCAGGATACATTACTGTGTGGGCACATGATTGCTATTATGTAAATGTTTTATTATGCCTGTGGAAACTGACAAAGACTTAAGTAGGATGATGGAATTAAAAGTTTTTAGTGGCCGGACGGGGTGGCTCACGCCTATAATCCCAGCACTTTGGGAGGCCGAGGAGGCGGGTGGATCACGAGGTCAAGAGATGGAGACCATCCTGGTCAACAAGGTGAAACCTCATCTCTACTAAAAATACAAAAATTAGCTGGGCATGATGGTGCGTGCCTGTAGTCCCAGCTACTCGGGAGGCTGAGGCAGGAGAATTGCCTGAACCCAGGAGGTGGAGGTTGCGGTGAGCCAAGATCGTGCCATTGCACTCCAGTCTGGGCAACAACAGCGAAACTCCGTCTCAAAAAAAAGAAAAAAAAAAAAGTTTTTAGTCCTCTCCGGGTTAGTGTTTTTGGTCATTGTTTTGAAAAAAAATGCTCTCCCAATATATGTATATTTAATTCAGCCTTTTGATAGAAGATTTATTCTAATAAGCTGGGAGGGGAAAAGCCACAACGGAGGAGAGGACTCTTGGGACATGCAAGGTCTTTCAAAGGCCTCTAAAATCATAATTTTCAGGCAGTGTACATATAGGGCTGGCCCCGTTTTGCTAGGTTTGTTTTTTGATTATGGTGGTGCAATCTCTTTGAAATACATGCTGTTGTTTCATAGGCTGTGGCCTCTGTGTACCACTGACAGGTAGAGGCCAGGTTCCCCACATTACCACAGGAGGCCATTCAGCACTTGTAAATGTGCACTCTAGAACAGACCAAAGAAAGTATTTCCTCCTCATCCCCACTGTGTAGATCTGCCTTCTAAATTCTCATGTTCTGTCCCAAGTACAGCCTTTCCTGACATGACTGATGGCAAGAATGTCTACTTCTTGTAGGAGACCTACTCATAAGGGCGTGCTCTCAGCACGACAATCAGATCAGATCATAGTAGGTGAACCACAGGATCGGAGCTACCTATAAAGTGACGACAGGCCAGCCACAATATCCTCTTGTAAAATAATTTTTAAAATATAAAAATTTTATATTATAATATAAAAATCCTCTTATAAAATAATCTTTATAAGCTGGGCGCGGTGGCTCATGCCTGTAATCCCAGCACTTTGGGAGGCCGAGGAGGGTGGATCATGAGGTCAAGAGATTGAGACCATCCTGGCCAACACGGTGAAACTCCATGTCTACTAAAAATACAAAAATTAGTTGGGCGTGGTGGCGTGCACCTGTAGCCCCAGCTACTCGGGAGGCTGAGGCAGGACAATTGCTTAAACCCAGGAAGCAGAGGTTGCAGTGAGCTGAGATTGCACCATTGCACTCCAGCCTGGTGCCTGGTAACAGATTGAGACTCTGTCTCAAAATAAATAAATAAATAAATAAATAAAATAAGCTTTATAAAAAATTTAACTTTTTAAATTTTTTATAGTACATGATGTATAATTTTTTAAATACAAAAAATTTTATTTTTTAATTAAAATGTTCTTATAAAATTTTTAAATTATAAAAGAATTTAACTTTTTTTTTACAGTACATGTTCAAAAGGTTTCTTTTTAAAAACAATTTTCAAGGTCAAGTTCCATTTTTTTTTTTTTATTTTACACATTGGTCAGAGAACATTGAGTTCACTTTTAAATACTATGTCATTCATGACTGAGCTTCACCAAGCTAATCCTTTTTACATACAATCCTTCCTCCAACTCGAGGAGAAAATCCTGCCAGTGCAGTCTTCTGACTGTCTTGGCGTTTTATCTCCTATAAGCAGTTATTTAAAGAATATGTACATCTCAAAAAGAATAAGTGCCTAAGCAGTCTAAATCCCAATTTAGAGCTATGACTGTCCACAGTGTAGAAAATGTATCACATTACCAAAAAGCAGTTTAGTTGCTTTAAGCAGAGTCATACTTCTCCAAAATCTCTGTTTCAGGCTAGAGTCTCAGCTACATTTTTGCGTATGCAAATATCCACCGTATTGTGATTGTACAGAAAAAGGAGTCAAGTCTACCAGGAAGCTTATTTGCAACCTCATAAATGATGGTGTCCTCATATTCTACCAGTTCTGTCAAAGTGTCAGAGGTTTTAGTTGCTCATTCTCTTTTACCGAAGGCTGGGGGTGAGGGGAGGTGGGATGGTGAGACTGGGAATAAACTCATCCCAAACTCCTGAACATGTACAACATCTGTACAGTGGAAACCATAAATAGGGCAACTGACAGGAAATAAGTGCAACATATTACTTTTTAAAAGGGAGAATATACAGCATATTTGAAAAAAATTCCTATGGATCAATACAAAAACAAAAACCTATTTTGAAATAGAACAGAAGCCATAAACAAACAATTCATGAAAGAAATAGAAGAGCCAGGCGCCGTGGCTCACACCTGTAATCCCAGCATTTTGGGAGGCTGAGGCAGGCAGATCCCCTGAGGTCAGGAGTTTGAAACCATCCTGACTAAAAATACAGAAATTAGCCAGGCATGGTGGTGAATGCCTGTAATCCCAGCTACTCAGGAGGCTGAGGCAGAAGAATTGCTTGAAGCCGGGAGGCAGAGGTGGCAGTGAGTGGAGATTGTACCACTGTACCCCAGCCTGGGCGACAGAGTGAGACTCTGCCTCAGGAAAAATAAGTAGTTTACAATGTGCAAAAATGTGTCCTTTTATAGTAACACTATTTATTTTAAGTAAAAAATAATGAAAAATAAGATTGGCTGAAACTAAAAAGATGAATGAGATCCAATTTCATCAAAAAGTGTCAGGAAACTGTTTATGGAATTGTAAATTTCCTTTTTAGATGGCAATTTGGCGATTGCTATCAAATTTACAGGGTTGTTTAGGGTTTGAATTTCAAAACCCTAATTAATGTTTCTTAACTTTTCTCCTTAGAAGACATTTCGGCCTCAAGTCAACAAGCAATGTGGCAAAGCAGTGGATGGAAAAGAGGAACTCTTAGTTGGCTCCTAGCTACCTTGGTCAACACAGGAGGAAAGCTTCTAATTGCTGAGCAATTGCCTACACAGACTCAGAGATGGGGGGAACTCTTCCTGGAGTTGTGTGGGGGCAATCTGCAAAACAATTGCAACTTGGGGCGACTTGCTTAGAGTTCTTATCCGACTATGAAGCCTGAAGTACTGTGGGAATTGATGCTCCCCTTTCAAGAGAGGAGAGAGGTATCTCACCTTCACACACGTCTGTGGAGCTTTTCTCCTCATTTCTGCTTCAGAGTCTCATAACTCATCATTCTGTCAAAGTATTACAAATAGCTTTACTTTAGGCATTCACTTAACTCATTACTTACACTTAACCTTTTTAGCTTACAGCTTTGTCTTATTTTACGGGGTTTACAGAGCTGAACTTAAAGCAACTTCATGTGCATGTTTGTAAAAACATTTCCAAATGCTTGATTTTCACAATAAGCACCTATTGACTTTGCAGCTGAAAATTTTTTTTTTTTTTTTCCAAAACATTTACACTTAGAGAGTTTTGCATGCAATTGCTTAGAGACATCAAATTGACTTTTACGGCCGGGCGCAGTGGCTCATGCCTGTAATCCAAGCATTTTGGAGGCCAAGGCGGGCGGATCACCTGAGGTCAGGAGTTCAAGACCAGCCTGACCAACATGGTGAAGCCCCGTCTTTAAAAAAAAAGAAAAAAAACAAAAACAAATTGACTTTTACTTTTTCGGGAAGGGAGATCAATTATTT